GATAGCGTTGCCATAGCCAGTGCGACTGTCGTCTTCTCGTTGCTTAATACAGGGGTGTCCAAAGTACGGCCCGCGGCCCAACTGCGGCCCGGGATCCATTTTTTATTGGCCCGCAGCAAATTATAAAAATAGAATGGAATGTGGCCCACACATGAAACTTGCCCTGACTGTATTGTAGTTCTTAGTTTGACCAGTAGGTGGAGCTACTCACTAGCTGCAGTCCTAATGCAGCTTTTCCACAAAAAGAGTGGAGGCGAGGCTGTAAAATTGCACTGTATCATCCACCAAGAAGCTCTCTGTGCCAAGACAGTCCAGCTTGGCGATGTGATGACCACCGTTGTGAAAACTGTCAACATAATTCGAGCACGAGGGCTCTACAACAGAGAATTAAGCTTTCCTATCTGATGTCGATGCTGAATACGGGGACGTACTCTATCATTGTGACGTGCGCTGGCTTAGTCGCGGCTCCGTGCTGAAGCGGTTTTATTCCCTTATTGCCTTTCTAGTTGATCTTACTGGTCATCTGAACTCACTGAACAAGAGCCTACAAGGCAAAGACCAGCTTGTACCACAACTTTCTGTGCGAAGCTTCGTCTTTTTGAGACACAACTACGCAACTTCAACCTTGCGCACTTCCCTACGCTGTCCGAAATCAAACGTGCTCATCCAAAGCCCGACCTCTCTGCTAAAAAGGGGAAATATGTTTCTGTGATCACAACTCTTATGACACAATTCAATCAGCGCTTCCAAGATGTTTCTGTCATTGAGAAAGAAATCAAGCTGTTCTCAACTCCCTTCCTGCTGGATGCAGAAGAAGTGGAAGAGAGTCTGCAATTAGAACTCATCGAGATGCAGCTCCTCTCCCTACCCGACTTCTACCGGAGCTTGGAAAAGGCCAAGTTTCCTCTGATGCGACGCCACGCAAAAAGAATGACCAGTCTGTTTGGCACAACATACTTATGCGAGCAAACATTTTCTCTGTTAACTCTGAACAAAAGCAGATTGAGAACCAAAATGAGCGACAGCCATCTCTGTGATGTCCTTCACATCTCAACCAGCAAACTTACTCGTGACCTGCCAGCCGTCCTTCAGTCCAGAGCAGCATCACTGCTCCCATTAAGTGCAACACTGTTCAAATATATTACACAGTAGTCATGTGTTCAAAAGCCCAATTACTTAATAAATGCAGTCAATTAAAGTTGATTTTCTAAAACACGTTAGCTGATGAATGATTTGCATAAGTAGGTTAAATAAAGCCTTCCCTCTTTATACAGGGCTGTGAAGGGGGTCCCCATCCTGACGAAGAAGCAATCTGAGGATGAGCTGCCAACCCTTTTTGTAAGAAAAAAATGAAAACCCATTAATGGAGAGATGTGATTTATGCAGTTTTTTCTTTAAGTTTATTAAATTATCAAGCATAATTTACCTACATTTGATTGATTTTATTTGAAAATAGATAAATGAAAACCCATACATAGAAAGATGTGATGTATGCAGTTTTTTCTGCTCTCGCTCGCCCCCTAGTGTGATAACCGGCACTCCGCTTGTTGTTACGCGCAACCGCACCGCCGTTCCTTCCCTGCACCCCCCTCTCTCTCACCCCCTCTGTGCTCACACACACACACACACACACACACACACACACACAGGTTTTGATTGCTTGTTTAGTGAGTAGGTTTAAAATAAGTGTTATGGGGATTGTTGGTTGCAGTTATAGGTGATCTTGATCGGTGTTCCTGTGAGTTAATAAACCCTGTTATACTTTAAAGAACCGTTTTCCTGTGTTTACTTGTGCATTTATATGGTGGTGACCGTTGACATACATTGCCACACTGTAAACCCGAACGTCCAAAGTAATTAAATAGATTAAGTAGTGTATACTCAAATTTTTGAAAAAGTTCTACTAACTTAATTATGTCATGTTGGTGTAACATGTTCTTCTTTTTGAGTAATTTTAACTAATACTTTTTGATTTAATGGAACTATTTAACAATAACTTAAAAATTTAACTTAAGTACAACTTAATAGAATTAAGAAATGTCATACTAAGAATGATGAAGTCCTGTTATCTGTCTATTTTTTCAAATACGGATGATTTAAAAATAAACCTAATGTATATAGCACATGCTAAAATACAATCAAATCTCACAAAGTGCCAAATAAGTAACATCGATCACTAAAAAATACATTTCAATCATAGCTTATTAAAACAGTATTAATTTGATTGCGGCAAATGGTCTGAAATGCATTAGACATTAATGGAAGACAAAATGTATTCATTTTTATTGTCATCAGTTTAATGTAGCCTACATATTCATTTTGCTTGCAGGGATCATTTTAAAGCTCAAACTGACTTCCTACACTAGTCCATGTTCTCTCTAGGGAAGCTCGTTTTAAATTCTGAGTAGTGAGCTCGCTGTAAAATGTGCTTTTACTTGTTTGTTATTTTAGGATATTATTCTGTCAGTATAACAAAGTATTCAAGTTGTCATGATAACACAACATTACTAGTTAGTAACATATCTACGACAAATAAAACGCTAATTTGAAAATTAATTCAATTGAATTAACACGCTAGTAGTATATTTTAAGTCAACTTGATTAAGGAAGTAGTCGCGGCCGTTATCAAAGTGCATTATGGGGTTGGCGGGCGAAGTTGACTTCCTTTCCGTCCTTGAGCCTTTTCGGACCAGGCTTCAGTAGCATCACCGGCTCAGACTGTTTTCAAGGTGAGTGAAATCATAGGTGTTTATATATATGTATATATATAAGTTGATATATGTAATGTGTGAAGTTAAATTATGTTACAATCAGCCAGTTGCCAATCCTCAAACGTAAAACAATTTAATTTAAATAATTTTCCAGACTTTGTCGTACGAGTGACATTACTAACGTTAGTTACTTCTGCTCCATTCACTGGGACTTTAGTCTTCTCTGCCTGTGTGGTTCTACTTCAGCGGTTGCTGGTTTGAACTCGCTAACGTGTGCGCTAACGTACGTGCTAACGCACTTTAGCTAACGAACATACTACGCTAACTAACGTTACTTGATTGTGCATCTCGGACCAGCCGAGGAGCACGCGGGATAGTATTCCACTAGCTAGCTAGCTTGTTCAACTGAGAAAAGGGCGGCTAACGAACCTACGCTAGCTAACATAAGTTCACGGTGCGTGCTTGAAACCGCGATTGTCTTTTCAGTCAAACAATCTAGTTCGCTAGTTAAGTAAAAAACCGGGCTCCCGTGCTTCTCAGCTGGTCCAGGAGCAGCGCCACGTGTTTCTGCATCGAGCTTGTCGTGACTCGCAGTTCTGTGGCATTTCTATTAATTTTTTGCAAGTCATTCTGTTCATTCATTTTTGTGTAAAGCTGGAACTTTCCACCTATAAACGTTGTATAAAACTAATTGAAAACATGTCATTTTAAGGCAGTGTTAGCTGTAGTCATTGATCATGTTTTGGTAAGCTACTAGTAACTAACTTGTTGTTATATTCCGTTTTTAAAGTTTTAGATGGTGGTCTGAACTTTGTCATTTCTTTTCTTTGCCTTTTAGGTTGCTGGTTCCAAAATGATCTGGAAGTGTAAGTTGTGCGCAGCTTCTTTCACCTCCAGAATACAGTTATTTAGACACTATAGGCTGCAACAAGATGAGACGGGCTGGATGTCAGGAGGTCACTGTTAATGCTGTAAAAAGAAGTAGAAGTAATCCTGAAAATGAATCTTCACATTCCAACATTAAAAGACCCAAGCGAGCCGAAGTCAACTTCCTACCCAACTTTCCCCAAGGAAAGGATCCTTCAATCCTTGAGCAGTTGAGGCAGACAATTGTTGAAGAAGTCACGAGACTGAGAAGAGCCTGCCCCTGATTAGAAAGATGATGGAGACCACATTTCCCCTACGCCGACAGACTATAGTGATGTCCTGCCCACCAGTGAACGAGCTCATGAACCTCTGGCCTGCTCTCAAAATAGACAATGAGGTAATATGGATCAGTTTTCTTAAGTGAAAATTATTGTGATTCTTACTTATTTGGCCCCTATTTTCTGCTTTATGAATGTGTGCTAGAGTCTTCAAATGTTACAGTTTTTGTATAAGTGACTGTATTCTCATCCTACTGTTATTTCAATGTAGTTGTATGCAGAGTTCCAGCGGATTACGAATCAGAACCTCTCCAACACATTCTATGCTGAGCTTGACCGCCATCTTCCTCGACTGATGACCTTATTCAGACAGAAGGCATCAAAAACTGGGAAGACAGCAGATGCTGTAGTTGAAATTTAAAAAATCCACGATGAACAGGTAAATAAATTATTACACACTTCATAGGTTCAATGACTCATGAGTTTTGTGTATTTTGCAATTAGTCCACTTTGTGTTTGCCATTTGTTTGATTGCATTAATAATGTGAATAGATTATTTGTGGACATATGTTCTGTTTGGACTGTTTAAAATCAGTAGGTACAATTGTTACGGACCTGCCGGCTCCTCCTCCTCGTTTTGTCTATTTGCATCTCCCCTACAGGTGAGCGGAGCACAGGTGTGACGGGTTTCCTATGATTCCTTCCAGGAACACCTGGGATGGCTTTATGTATCCTGAGGGGTTTAAAAGCTGGGGAGACCTGGTGGAAGGGGGGCTGCCGCTTCTCCTTCTCTCCCGCACCGTTTTGCTGATTTTGTTTCCTTTTACATGACTTTTCATATACCCTGATTTCATTCGCTTTCAGTTCTCCTGACTAACACTTATACTGACTTTATTTACTTTACGTTGCTCATTCGTTGTCCTTAATAAACGGTATTTTCTTTCAATCAACTTATCCGCGTGGTCTTCCCTCTCTGTTGCATGGCCAGGCACAGGCAGAACGTAACAGAATTGGGGGCTCGTCCGGGATCGATCCAAAACGACGTCGGTAAATATATATAAAAAAAATATATATAATAATGTATGCGTTTGAATGTATTGAGACCGTTTCGTTTAGGTGCGTCTGATTCGGAAAGTGCTTTTGATCGTTCATTGATTCGAACGTGTTTTTTGGGAAGACGCATGCGGATTAAGGGGAAAATCAATTGCGTTTGGAACAATTGGTTTATTTATTTATTTGTTGGTGCGTGAGGGGAGGAGAACAATTAGGTAAATTTGTACCTTGCCGTCGTTAAAGTAGGCCAGGTTGAAGTATTGGCGGTGAGCGATTGTTTGACAAGTGTAGGTCTGCACTGCGCGTCAAGATTGATTGATTTGATAACGTATTCGATAAAATTATCAGAGCTTTACGAGTGCCCGTTAGTTGTAATGTTTGTTATTTTAGTTTGTTATTTTTGTGCTATCCTGGGCAGAGGGCACCGTCGTGGAAGCCTTCTTTAACGGCATTTTGTCGGGGAAGTTAAGGCTCCGCTGATATCGTGTAATAAAAATCTCTGTCCTTGGGATATGCATGAAGAGGATCGCTATTTTTTCTTTCTTTTTACAGGGCAGCTCTGTTTTGTCTCGTCTGATGCGCAGTGCGGTAGCCACATTTGCATTGGGAAAAGGTGAGCTTGTTATCTTTATTTGCAAGAATTGTATGGGGTAAAAATCGTTTCCTTTGTATGGCTAGTTTGGAGGATTTTTTTGTTACTCCATCCGTGGAGGTTTTGAATAATTTGACAAAGGATCAGTTGCGCCGGGTTTGTGACCATTATGGCCTTGACTTAGGTTTACCCAGAACAGCAAAATTAGCCCAGATTAGATTGTCCGTTCAGGCTGAATTGGTTGTTAAGAATATTTTGTCACCTGAATCTAAAATTATGGATGATTTGGGAGAAGCACTGTCGACACCTCATTCGACAGGGTGTTCTAAGGTGGCGCTCACGTTTGAGCAACAAAAGGTGTTGCTAGAAATGCAACGTCAAGAGAGAGAAGCTCAACGTGAGGCAGAACGTCAAGAGAGAGAAGCTCAACGAGAGGCAGATCGACAGGAAAGAGAAGCTAAACGCGAGTTAGAGATGGAAAGAATAAAAAGTGAACGTGATGTGGCGTTGGAACGGCTAAGACTGAGTGCTGAATGTAGGCTTCCAGTTGATGGGGAGGAGGGTCCTGCTCCTAGGGAGTCTGTGCGTTCCCCTGATATATCTAGCATGGTTAGGTTGCTGCCAAAATTCAATGAAAGAGATCCAGATATTTTCTTTTCTTTATTTGAGAGTGTGGCTGATGACCGTGGCTGGACTGACTCTGAAAGAACGTTGCTAATCCAAAGTGTTCTTGTAGGTAGAGCGCAAGAAGCGTTTATTGCTTTGCCTGTACCAGATCGAAAAAAGTATGTCAAAGTAAAAGAGGCAGTGCTTAAAATTTATGAATTGGTTCCTGAGGCTTATCGTTTGCGGTTTCGCAGCTGGAGAAAGGGAGAAAAACAGACTTATACAGAGGTAGCGAGGGAATTGTACAGCCACTTTAATCGTTGGTGCTCCACGGTGGGAGTCACTACTTTTGAAGAATTGTCTAACCTGATTGTTTTAGAACAGTTCAGAAACATCCTTCCGGAGCGCGTCGCTACACATATATTTGAGCAGAAGATGAAAACCGCAGCGGAAGCCGCAGTTGTGGCTGACGATTTTGCTTTGACACATAAGTATAGTTTAAAAGACACAGGTCAGATTTATCAGGAAAAACGTTTTGGACGTTTCAATAGAGCTTTGGGGTCTTCTTCGTTGGGTTCATTTGAGTCACCTACTCAGAGTAGAGTAGATTTACATTCCAATCAGTCACACAGAGGTGCTGTGAGTTTTCGCAGAGATTCTAGGTTTTCTGCGTTTACACCTGTCAGTCAGGCTAAGAATGATGCTGATGTGTGTCGATACTGTTTGGAAAAGGGGCACTGGAAGAGAGACTGTCCTGTGTTAAAGGGGAAAAGTCAGAGAAAGGGTACTGAGGTTGTTAGGGGGGTCACACTTGCTGTATCTGAGCCTGTTAGACCTGCTAAAGTTGTGATGGGTGAGACCGAGGTTAAATCTGAAGGCATTGTGACGCCATTTCAGCTATCAGGCCTTTGCTCTGTTGGGGCCAGTGAGAGAAACGGTGGTCCTGACTCAGTTGTGCCTGGGGGAAGTGGTTATTTTCCTTTTGTTACGGATGGGTTAGTTTCACTGGTGGGTAGTTCCAACCAAGTGCCAGTTAAGATACTTAGGGACACAGGGGCGTCTGAGTCTTTTATCTTGAAGTCTGTATTGCCTTTTTCTGCAGACTCTAGTACTGGGAACAATGTTTTAGTCCGGGGGATTGGGTTGCAAGTTGTCTCTGTTCCATTGCACAGGATTAATCTGCAGTCGGATTTAGTGCAAGGGGAAGTATCAATAGCAGTTCGCCCTTCTTTACCAATAGAGGGCGTCCATCTTCTTTTAGGTAACAACCTGGCTGGAGAACGTGTCTGGCGTGATGTACTGCCCCCTGTAATTGTTAACAATGTTCCTTCTATTCCAGCCGACAGTGACGTTGGTGGTCAGAATTTGACTGTCTTTACAGCTTGTGCCGCGACACGGGCTATGAGTCGTGCCTCTAATGATGATGTTTCTCAGAGTAGAGAGTTTAAGTCTGTTGTTGTGCCTAATTTACCACCATCTCTCTCTCATAGTGATTTTGTTGCAGCTCAAAAGGAGGATGCAACATTGAAAGATCTGTTCGTTGGGGAGCCAAGGTGCTCTGGAGCGTTTTCATCAGACACTGAAGTCGCTTCTCAGGGGTTATTGTGTCGAGCTTAACAGAGACTGGGAAGAGGGACTCCCATGGTTGATGTTGGCGGCACGAGAGGTAACCCAGGAGAGCACGGGTTTCTCGCCTAATGATCTGGTCTTTGGACATAGAGTTCGGGGGCCTTTAGCGGTCTTACAGGGGGAGCTGAAATGTCCTGAGTCTCCTGTTAATTTGTTGGACTACGTAAATGGTTTTCGTCGTAGGTTGTTTTTAGCCTGTGAGATGGCGACAGACAAACTTACAAAAACCCAACAGAAAATGAAGAGTTGGTATGACCGTCGAGCTGAGCCAAGGGTGTTCAGTCCTGGGGATCAGGTATTAGCATTATTACCGATAGCAACTTCTCCGTTCCTTGCAAAATATACAGGTCCTTATAAGATTGTTCGAAAAGTGTCAGACCTCAATTATTTACTCTCTACACCCAATCGTAGGCGTTCCACTCAGCTCTGTCACATAAATCTGTTGAAGTCCTACTACAGCAGGTTTCCAGTCTCTGCTGCAGCAGAGTCTAGTGACCTGGTTATTCCAGTTTCTTTAGCCGCAGTTGTCGGGGCTCCTAGGGCCATTGAGACTCTCTTCATGGGGGCAGAAAGTAGTGGTGAAGATGTGGTAGGACCTGATGACTGTGTGCTGAAACCTCGTCTGAGGAACTCTGAGAAACTGGCAGAGTTAAATACATTGTTTGGACATTTGCCAGGGGAGCGTGCATCAGAACTGTCTTGTCTGATTTTCCTTCTCTATTTTCAGATACACCATCATGTACTCATTTAATTGAGCATGATATTGATGTTGGTGATGCAGAACCAATAAGACAGCGGTTCTATCGGGTGTCACAAGACAAACAGCGACACCTAGAGGCAGAGGTGAAGTACCTGTTGGAAAATGGTTTGGCTAAGCCTTCCTATTCAAGTTGGGCTTCACCCTGTATATTGGTCAGTAAACCTGATGGGACTAATAGATTCTGTAC